CTGTGTCAAGTTTTTTAGAAAATAACATATATTTTGTTTTTTGATCATTAAGAACAAGTCGTAGAGAGCTAAGATTGTGCTGAACAGTCACAAATGCTTCCTGTAAATTTGAAAGAGCCTCTGCTGGTGATGAAGCAGAACAATAGATAATAGTATCATCTGCATAAAAATGCATATCAGCATTTAAAACATTATTGCAGAGGTCATTAATGTACATTGTGAACAACAAGGGCCCCAAAATGGAACCCTGTGGCACCCCAGTTCTAACAGCAAGCTTCTCAGACAAAAAAACATCCAAAAGTACACGCTGACATCTGTTACTTAAATCATTTCTAAACCAGCCTATAACCTTATCAGACAACCCAATACTAACCAATCGGGACAATAAGATGTCGTGGTTAACAGTGTCAAAAGCTTTTGATGAATCTATGATTAGTGCGGCACATGATTTTCTATTATCAAGAGCATTAATTATGTCATTAAGTACTCTAGTGGTAGATGTTACAGTGCTATGTTTTTTTCCAAAAACCAGACTGCTAGACAGACAAAATATTATTACTGTTTACAAACTGCTTTAACTGATCACCGACCTGAGATTCCAGAATTTTAGCCAATACCGACAGAGACTGGGTGATAATTATCTAATTTAGATGGGTCACCACCTTTCAACAATGGCAGAACTAAAGCAGATTTCCAGGCCTCAGGTACAATATTCTGTTCCAATGACAAATTTAAAATGTAAGTAAGTGGGTCAACAGTAATATCTGCAGCAAGTTTCAGAAATAAGGGCTCAAGCTCATCAGGCCCTGCAGATTTGCTCATATTAAGGTTCTCAAGGACTGAAAAACCAACCAATCTGCTTTCTTCCTTTTTCCCAAGACAGATTTCTTTCATGGATAAGTTCAGATGATTCATCTGAAAACCAAAGATTGTCCCGTCCCTTCACTCGAAATTTCCAATTGGGAGCATGCTTGTTCACAACCTGGACAAACATATTTTGAAAATAAGTTCATGCAGTTTGCACATCAGGAATTAAAAATAGTTTTTTTCCAGTCACATGCAAAAACATCATGCAAAAACCCCTGGGTATCAAAATTCTTAAGACTTCTCTTTCTAATAATCCGAGGTTTTGATTCTGGCACTTCACAATTTCTGATAGCTACTACCGCACAATGGTCACTGACATCATCTGGAAAAATTCATATGTGTGTATATTTATGAGGCTCATTAGTTAAAATAAGATCAATAGTAGATTTACTTGGGGTTTTTAAGTTTGGCCGTGTGGGAGCATTGACAGTTTGTGTTAAGTTTGCTGAATCACAGAATGTTTTGAATTCATTTGAAACTGGTCTCATTCAGTCTCAATTTAGATCCCACATCAAAATGAGCTCTTTAGGAGGCAAATCAGCTAAAACAGATGAAAGTGAAGATAAAGCCTCCTTACCAGCCAAGGGTGGTCTATAACAACCAACATGGTTCAAATGGCAATCCTTTCCAAATTGTAAATGAACAGCTAAAAACTTGAATTGTTTGGGAATAGACAGTGATTTTATAACAGCTGCATGAAATTTTGACTTTACGTAAATTGCTATGCCACCTCCCTTGCTTTTTTGATCTGCACAAAATACATTATACCCATAGACTGAAATATCATTATCTGAATTGGACTTTTTCAGCCAGGTCTCAGACAAAACCAAGGTGTCTGCTTTGGTTGTCTACGGACATTCAAATGTACAAAACCAAGACCTGTCCTATTAGAAAACTCCAGAGGCGTCAACAGGCAATTTAGGTCTGGGCCAGGATTTGGACTGACATTGCCAGCCATCAAAAGCAACAACATTATTAAACATCGTTACTTAAAGTTTTTCAATGAAACAGCATGTTCGTAATTCCCTTCAAATTTAAAATCCAGTCGTGAATCACCAGATGCAACAAAGTGATCCTGAATGATAAGGAGGTAGACATAAGAAAACATTGTCACTGATTCCTTTAAAACTGCAGTTTGTTCAGTCCGAGGTAAGTAACAATATCCGTGCATTTCAATGGAAGACATAAAGAAAAATGTGTAAAATGACCAACATTAATGTCCTATGCACTGCCTGGCCTGCAGCTCAGTTCCAACATGCAGAAAAATGCATATATTAGCAACAATGCTCTCATTTTGCCAGTTTATCCAGCGAACTCACGTCAACTGGTAGCTCATAGCTCTCCAGACGATAAACAACACCTCAGTCACTGCTGGCCACTGCTAAACCACTCTTCTTGTATGAGCCGAAACTCCAACCAGCGCAATAAGGCTAAAGTAGGGCTTCAAGAGACGGCACCAACAGTCACTAGCTGGCAAAGGTGCAGGCAGGTGTAGTATCCACAGAAAAATAACAGGAACACACAGCAAAAATCCCTCTTAATCTTCTTCAGCTCTGTAAACTATGATCAAAACAGTTCAAACTAAGTCCCTTAGAACCAAATCAGAAAAAAAAGTGCGTGAAGTGGGTCACATTTCTGCAAAATAGACCTCTGATCCCGACTACAGCCCTGATTACTATAATTATTTTAATATGATTATCAGACCTTGTTCACACACTGCTGCCCAGCACTGCTGATCCTAATGAAAGCTTTAAAAAAGAAGAGTGCTCTTCAGGCATAAGATCTTCTTAATAAACATTTGATTAGGGGCACCACAAGGGGGCAGCAGCCATCTTAATGCTGTAAATCTCACTCAACACATCACACAATGTCAAAAAGGCCCAATAATCCCTCCATTTCCTCCGAAGGCTGAGGAGAGTCAAGCTGCCACAACAGCTGCTCTGCAACTTCTACAGTTCCACTGTGAAGAGCACGACTGACCAGCTGCATCATGGTCTGGTATGGCAGCGTCACTGCTGCTGAATGTAAGGCAGAGGGTGGTAAAAACTGTCCAGCACATCACAGCAGCTGCCCTCCCACCCATACAGGACATCTACAACAAGACATGTCTGATGAAAGCCATCAACATCTCTCTAACCCCACACGCCCCAGCCACTCCCTGTTCCAGCCTCTGTCCTTCAGAAAGAGGTACCAGAACATCCTAAAGCCCCCCAGATTCAAGAACAGTTTTAGGCCATGAGCTGTTAAAATGGTCACATCAGCAACACCAACCTGAACATGAACACACACTACAGAGCCTTCCTGATCTAAACCCTGATCCTCCCAGTACTCAGCATAGCTTCACACTGAGCTCCACTACCTCATGGGACTGTATACACATTACACTTTTACTGGAGCTCACTGTACTTGAACTTTTAAGCTGTTTACTCTTATACATGTAAGCTGTATGCTTGTACATTAAACTGCTAATGCTCATTGACCTGCATCTAATGCTTTGTGAATATAACATCTGTGATGCTGTTTACAAGCATTTATTATAAATTCCTCAAAATACTGCACACTTTAAATTAAAACACATTATAATCATTTCAGCTGTGAATCACATAAATCTACATATTTATTATAGTTCCTTTATTGTAGTTTAGTTACTATAGTGTGCATTTTAAATTCTACCTCTGCATTCTGACCTACAGTTACTGTTCATGCATATTGACAAAAGCACAAATAATTGACTGCATTAATTAATTAATGAACAGTGGATGAAAATAATTATGTCAAAAGTGTAACACGTGGGGAAAACGTCTGATCCTGATCAGAAGTGACTAACACTGAATATTTCTACTACCCGAAAAGACAATTATTGTTTTAATAAAAAGTAACAAAGCCTTTTCTTTGGATGCCCCATATTTTATATCTTGAAATGAAACTGTGAGCACAGAAGGGTATTTTGCTTTGACCGTTCCTGCAGTCGTTTCTCTGAAGTATCTGAGTAACAGCGTAAAAGATAAATTTGCTCTTCCTGCTCTGCTACAGTCCACTGTAGTCGTGACATCATTGTGTAGTCATGCTCTTAGGCCCATATTAGGAACTCCGGGTCTGAGCTCCATCAGAACCTGATACGTTTTGTCCTGTGAACTTTCTTCTCCCGAAAACCACTGGATCCTCTGAATTACGAGGTTGTTAAAGAGTTGAAATATGAATATTGCTACATGTGAGCTAAAGCTACTGCGCACTGAATTCACGTCATTTGACTGGCAGCCTCCTTAAGCGGGTTTTGGCAGTGTACATTAACATTTTCCATTTACAGACTGAGGGCAGATGAAAAGAAGTCAGAACAAAATCAGCAGATTTCCCTGCAGTTCTCTGTTCTTCATCTGATGCTCACTGAAACACGATCGATCTTTCCTTTTAGCTTGATTTAAAAAAATGTATAAACGTACCTGCACTCAGGCTAATCCAGTACTGACTCAGCTTAAAATCACTGCTGACCCCCTGATAAACTGATTTCCGCTCTCAGAATACCCTAATTATTATTTTAATGCTGGTAACATTTTTCTGAGGACATTTTCTCGGGACATTCGCCAGCTTGTTGTTCGACTTTTTCAGAACGTGACAGCTGCACCATTTAAGGTGGAACGGGAAAATTCGAACAAGCAGCCAGAGAAAAAGAAGCTGACTTCAGCTTCATGGAGGGTTGACATACTTTTTTTTTATTTTAACTTATTTTTGCTGTTTCACCGAACTAACAGGTCAGTATTTTGTCTTGTTTGCTAATGTTTGTGATAGCTAGTCACAGCTGCCGGACTATTTAAGGTGGAACGGGAACATTCAAACAGAAGCTGCGAAAAAGAAGCTAAATTCAGCCTCGTAGTTTTAACACGGGTAGTATTTTTAACAAGGAGTTTTAGCCTATCAAATTATCCCTCCCAGAGGTTTTATTAACGGGTATAGCTCTTTAACGACCTCGTAATTCAGAGGATCCAGTGGTATTCGGGAGGAAAATATACACAGGACAAAACGTATCTGGTTCTGAACATTTTTATTTAACACAAGGTGCGATACAGGTGATTTTTCGAAAACCCTGTTCATTCTGGCCATAGAGAAATGGGCGCTCAGACCCGGAATTCCTAATATGGGCATAACGAGGACTACAGAATAACGCACTGCATTATGCAAATTAGCACCGCCCTCCATTATGACGTCACCACCAGACACTCTGACCGTATATATTTGTCGGCGGAGGAAAAACGAGGAGTAAGCTTAGAGAACAGCGTCGTTCACGAAAAGGTAAGTGTTTTTATTGATTTCTACTTTTAATGTGATTTATTCATTTATGAATGAGAGACAAAATGGAAAAATAACAAGATTAGTCGTCTTAAATGTGGTAAGATGCAGTAAAAGCACAGTTTTAGCTGCTCGGGGATTTTTCGAAGTCAGAATAGTGTTTTATACGGCCTTCGTTCATTTCTAAATAAGGCCGAGAAGGTTTTATATTTCCACTTTTCCACTTTTAATGATCTTTTCCTAGAAAATAAGCCATATTCTTTTAACTTAGCTGAGTTGTTGTGAGTCTCCTGCCAAATGTTCGGGTTGCTGTGTGAGAAACTGTCTCAGCTAATCACACCAGTCAAAATGGCTTCTTTGTGCTGTGCAGTTAATGCGACAACATCTGGCAGACAAACTCAGAACTAAAGACCATTTTGTCATGTAAGATAACCGATACGATAACGTTAATTACTGAAGTGTAAAAGCGATTTCGCTGACGATAATGACCAAACGTGTCGTGGCGATGACGTCATAACGAATCTGTCCTTGGTTGTCATGACGATGTGTACTAAAGGGTGATACTGTGGTGTGTGTGTGTGTGTTTTTGGACTTTTGTGCTGCAGTTTTCAGTGTGAGAGTTGTTTGACCACAGAATCATGGACAACGGCAGGAGATTTTCAGTGGAGGACCCGACCCCCAGCTCCAGAGTGTAAAACAAAGTTCTTCATCAATATCAGAAAGCCTTTATATTTCTGCTTTAGTATGAAAAGTTAAAATTAGTGCTTTAATATGATCAGCTAATTTATTTCAGCATCAGTGTGAAAAACGTTTATATTTCTGCATGAATGGTGGTGCAAGTGTAAATAATATTTGAGTTGAAGAAAAGTAACAGTTGTTCTTTTGTGTTTGTTGCTTGTGTGCAGGAGGAGAGATGTGCGCTTTCACTCGTTCATTTCGTCCATCAGTCAGCACTTTTTATTTAACGCGTTCCTTGTGCTAATTATTGTCATCAACGCAGTCGTCATCGCCCTGGAGGAGGACTACAGTAACGCAGGGCTGTTTCGGGTCAGTACACTGTAAAATTAGAGTTAGTCTGATTTCACAATTTCATATAAGAGAGAGAGAGAGAGAGAGAAAGAGAGAGAGAGAGAGAAAGAGAGAGAGAGAGGAAGAGAGAGACAGACTGAGAGAGAGAGTTCATCAGAGACTCGTCTGAGGTGTGATTAATGTAGTTAATCCGTCCTGCAGGTGGCTGAGGGGGTTTTTCTGATCCTCTATGTGTTGGAGTTCTGTGTGAAGTTCTATGTTGAGCCACGTGGATTTTGGAGAAGTGGCCTTAATGTCTTCAGCTCTGCGTTGCTGCTGCTGTCTCTGGTGGCAGTGTTCGCTGAGGGAGCCATTTCATTCTTCTCCCAGCAGAACTTCAGGCCTTTCCGCGCCCTCCGGGTCCTGAAGACCATCTCCTTCTTCCCCTCACTTCAGGTAAGGTGTTAATTAAGTGTTATTCTCTTAAATAGATTATTAGGTCATTTTTCATGTAGCCCATTGATATCCAGTGTGTACTTTTAACAGTGATAATATTTAGAATAATTAGTTTCAGGTTTACCGTATCAACTCTTTCTGTGTAAAACAAGTATGAAGGTTCTGCAAGATTAGGAAAATATTTAAGAACCAGTTTATTCAAGAATAGCACCTGTTCTTAGAATTGTTCTAAAGTGAAAACCTATGAAAGAAAATTCTAAAGATGCCTTTAAATAAAAATTTAGCTCACGTGTGATGTTTAAATATGAACATATGAGAAGATTTTGTTTTTATAACTGTTTTCGTCTGTTTCGTGCTATTTTGCAGGCTCTGGTTGTGATGCTGGCTAAAGCCATGAAGAGAGCTGTGTATGTGATGAGTTTGGTGTTCTTCATCATGTTCATCTTTGCTGTTGCTGGAGTTCTCTATTTCGGAGAGCAGGCTTCAGGGGACCTCGAGCACTGGGGGGATTTGGGGTCCGCTCTGCTCACCATCTTTGGCTTAGTAACAGTGAGTTGGACACAAGCATCTGCAATCACACATAATGTATATGTAGAAAATATAAACATCTAAAGCTTGTAAAAACAACTGTTTACATTTGATATAAACAATCCTCAATAAACACAAACATATGAAAACAAACATCAACAATCAGCAGCAACACCCCCCTTACACTGTTCTAGAATGACCTCTCCATTCACTCATTCACTCTGTTCTAGAATGTTCACCCCATTCACATTTTCTAGAATGAAACCCCTCCTCCTTACAATCTAATCACCCTATAAATTTCCATCCCTGCTTTCTGTTTCCTGCGACAAAGTTTTCGCAATAGCAAACATGATAATTGACTGCATGTCGTTTTTTGTTGTTCTATTTTAGCTGGACGGCTGGGTGGACCTGTTGAAGAAAGTAGATAGTTCAGGAGTGACCTACAGTCGGCTCTTCCCCGTCGTCTTCATACTGATAGGCCACTTCATCTTCTTCAACATGTTCGTGGGTTTGGTCATCATGGAGGTTGAGGTAAATCTATCTTTACATTTACATTTAAGTGTTTGGCAGATGCTCTTATCCAGAGCTAGAGTTGAATGATGTTACAGAGGAAGGCAAATGTAGCTTTAGGAGTCTTGCCCAAGGACTCCTACTGGTATAGTGTGGTGTGTTTGCCCAAGCAAGATATCAAACCACAGTCTGCCATGTAGAGGGGAATGATATTACCACTAACATTAAGCCTGACCCTAAATATGATAAATAACCCTAACATTGAAAAGAACATTAATCTGCCCTTTATTAAGCCTAAACTCAGTTGCTTTAATTAACGTCGCTAGTAAATTTAATGCTAATTCTAACATTAACCCTCAGTCCATAATTGAAGTTAATGTGTATATTTTCTTTTTCCTAATGTGAAACAGCGCATGACTAAAGCCCGTGAGGAGGAGTCTCTGCAGGAGCGGGAGGCAGCGCGGAAAAGAAAGAAGGAGAAAAAAACAATGAAGCAGCTGATTGGGAGTCAGGTGAGTGCAGGTTGAGTCAGGGGAGTGAAAGTAGAGCTCTACAGAAAACTGAGTGGGAAACACCTGTAAAGGAATAAGAAGCTTTTTTAATGACAAAGCACTTTGAAATGAGGCAGTGGTGTTTCACGTGTCTCAGAAGAAATCAGGTGCTAGCCTTCACTCTCCCAGCTCGGTAACATTGTTTGATAAGGGAAGAACTACCTAGCGGGTGGAATCAGACATGATAAAATTGAGGAGAAAACTGCTTTGAAAATGTATTTACTGAAGTGTTTTGTTTGACATTATTTACATTTAGGTGTCTAAACTGAAGAAATGGTCCGATACCAACGTAAAGACTGATAAGAATTTCCCACAAATCATCCAGCAGCTCAGAATGTCTCTCTGTGACTCAGACCACGTTGTAACGAAGGATAAGAGCAGCAGCTTGACATTCATACAGCTATATCTGACCACGCTGCGACAACAGGATGCCACCTTGGACAAGTGAGCAACATACACACACACACACACACACACACAAACACACACACACACACACACACACACACACACTCTCACACTGCGATTAATTGCTCTTCAATTTGTAGTAGAGTGTAACGATAAAATACATTTTTAGTTTGATGTGATATTTGATTTAATTTGTTACAACAAAAGATGGCAAAGTAGTCAGTTATTGTGCAAAATAATGCTGATATAAAACAGTGTAACTGAGCCATAAACAATACAGAAATAGATAGAATGCACCCAGATGTGTAAGCTCCCACCACACTCACAAATTCTGATAAAATACATTTGCTTGTTTCAAAAAGGTAGCATATCTTACAAATTAAACATCTATAAATGTTCAGCTTTGTTAGATATTGTTGTTACATCTAAAAGCAGTACTGAGAAATGACGTTATTGAAGGAGAAGAGTAAATTAGAGACAGAAAATGCTGCTTTCTGCTTTAGGCATTATAGGGCTAATAGAGAAATCTCTGTTTACTGAGTTATCCTTCATTCTAGATGCCTTTCCATTCAGATCTGAGGTCTCTGTTTTACACTCCTCCATAAAACCATCTTGTCTTGATTAATTTATCTTTTCACAAGTAAATAGTTTTAAGTTATCATGTAGCTTTACAATGTAATGTGTCTTTATAATGAATCTCAACCTGCCATGTTGAAGTGTGACGTTAAGGAGCTCCAACATGAACATTATGACTGAATGTGTGTTTGTGTGTGTTTGTGTGTAGGTTGCAGCAGATCTATGATGAAATGCTGGAGGTCCTCAGTGAGCTGCTGGAGCTGCAACAGGAAGAGCAGAGAGAGGAAGAAGAGCACGAAAGAGATACACAATAATCTGCAACATCGTGCTACAGTATTTCACCACTGATAACATCCACTGATAACAGGCCAGTTTACAAACCCAGTTCCAAAAATGTTGGGACAGTAAATAAAATACAAATAAAAACAGAGAGCAGTGATTTGTAAATTCACTTTGAGCTGTATTTAAACAGTAACAGCACAAAGACAAGATATTTCGCATTTTAGCTTATCAACTTAACCGTCTGCCAAAAACCTCACCTGAATACCTGTGACCTTTGACCTCTCAGACGACACTGCATTAAAAATCCTCATGCTTCTGTGATGGATATCAACACATGGCCTCAGGAATACTTTGACAAATCGTTGTCATAAACACTGTTTGTCACTGCATCTGCAAATGTAAGTTAAGACTGTATGATGCACAGTGGAATCCACATGTCAACAACGTCCAGAAATGTCCAGTAGCTTCTCTGGACTCGAGCTCATAATATTTATACATCTGTAACTGAAGAAAGACAAGAATCCACTTTTAAAACTGGATCATTTTGTGTCTTCAGTCTCCGAATGTTTAAGTGCTGTTTAAAGGAAAGTATGTAACACAGTAGTAAACATGCTCTATTTTGGAAAAAAAGATGCAGGTATCATATTTGAAATGAGTGCATGTTTACAAAAAAAAAAACAATAGTGCTCATTAATTAAAACATCAAATGTGATGTTTTTGTGCTGTTTTTTAATTTAATACAGGTCAAACAGAATTTATTAATTCCTGCTTTCTGTTTCTATTGGCATTCCACATACAATCCCATTTTTTTGGACCTGGATTTGTTCATTAAAGTATCATTAAAACAGCACAGGCAATAAACTCTGACTGAATTGTGCATTCATTTGCTTTTAAAGGGTTCAAAAAACAGAAAAACTCTACCTATGGAAATAAAAGACATATCCCTCACTCCCCAGTCCTTACAGTCCATATATAGAAACTAAGCTGCAAAAACAGCCTGTTTTGAATTCACTGTTTTTGTGATTACATAAAAACCAACACATTTACTAAAGTAATTCTCTTAATAAATATTCTTTTCCCATGTGATTGGGTAGGCCTGTGATCAGTATGTGTAGGCTCAGGATATAAGAGGCCAGTATGTGGCTACACTCCAGAGTAGACCACCGTGGAAAACACAGCTGTTTCCATGTTAAATCTCATGAGTGTAAATATGAATGTGAAAAAATCCTTCTGAAACTACCACGATCTGGATCTTGATGTCCACATAGCCACTCATGGTGATATTATTTTATGCATAAGTAAGTAAGGAAGTAAGCAAAAATCAAATATCAAAATATATTTCAGATATTTAGTTTTATTTCCAATAATAGTTTTATAGTAAATTCATACATGTAGTGTTGCTGTGGAAAGAGGTCCTATTTGAGCATGGTAAAGATTTGATTCTGAAACATTTTAGTAATATTTTAGATGAAATTCCAGTGTCTCTGCAGACAGTTAAAATGGCTGTGTTCCTTAAAAAATGATGAAATGACTCAGAAAGTGAATCAAAACTTTCAAAAGTTTCTTTATTACCTCTTTAATGTTCTGCTGAACAATTTGGTAGAGCACATTTTGAGTCACTATATATGCCACAAAGTGCCATCTCGACCGTTTGGTAGACATGAATATTTAAACACCAATTGTTTTCATTATTGTCCCAAACAAATAAAAAATACAAAAAAAAAATCCATTGTTTTTTTTCTTGGTGAGGACATTAAAGGGTTAAACAGTTCGGTGTGACGGAATTCATGGCTGGCAACTAAAAGTAAAACTGTACAACTAAAACCATAAAAAAACCTAAATCATATCACCCACCCTCTGCATACACACCTCACCTCATCCTGGCAAGCTTAAATCTCACTATAGCAAAGATGTAAAAGTTGGCAGATCTGTCAGTGTTTGAATACAGACAGCTGATCAGCGGTGTTCACAGACTTTGGTGAGGGCGGGGGCTGAGGGGTTTTTCAGTTTTTGAAAATAGCATTATAGACAAAGTGAGTCTACTATTGTGGTCTATAGTGGAGCAGCTATGTTTTAAAAATACAGTAGTAATCAAAACAAAAGGATGCGCACAGAAATCAAGAAAACAAACAATATATTAATTAAAATATTTATAACAATATAAATACTTTTATATAAGTTACATATTTTCATGCTTTCATGTTGTTTAGTGATTTTATATCTACATGGTTCATTTATATTGATATTATTTTTGTACATGTAGTCACTTCATGGAATCAGTAATGGAGGCCTCAGTTTTACCGTATAATATATTTTTAATGCTGTACATTGTAAATAACACAGTTTCTCATACAAAGACTAGAAATGTTTTGACATATGAATTATACATTCCGTAAAACTTTGTCATGAGGCCTCTTACTCCATGTAAGGGGGTGTCGTATTGCACTGAGAGTGGGACAAAATGCCCCTTTTAAAGACTTATTTTCTACTGTAAAAACAAAACTGACAGATTTTCCAGATTATTTTCTTCAACTGTGTGTAGGTTTATACCTCATCATCCTGAACATACTAAACTCACAGATATGATTTAGCTTTACACTAAATGGGCATTGTTTCCACTGTTACCTACATTTTTACTAATTTATTGTATTACCTGTATTGTGTCGTACCTTCTTATTATACACTTAGATGTTTAAGCTTTGAGTGTTTACTTTGAGTTCCTATATCTGTACATGTCTGTGTTTGTACATATATCTATATAAAATTACTGTGAGAGAGTGGATATATATTAATAAAAGTCCTGTTTAAAAATATGTTATCTGAAAAAGGGTCCTGTTTTCTTTAAAAAGCACTTCACACTACTTTAACCTTTTTACAGCATGTTCATTTTAAATATCCATTGCTGCAATAAACATTACTGAAGTAATGTGACTGATTCAGTTTTTGTCTGAGAAACATTAGAGGAAGTCTTTTAAGAATACTTTTAGTGCAGTACAATATTTCTTAAAGAACGTTGAATCACTGAATCGAGTCTCAATTTACAAAAACACCTTTGAATTGATTGAAAAGCAACGACTTGTGAATCGATTCACTGTCGGCTCAAAGATTCAAACCTCTAATACACACATTTGTCAATGTGCTTCACTCACTGTGTGAAGTGGGTCACATTTCTGCAAAATAGACCTCTGATCCCGACTACAGCCCTGATTACTATAATTATTTTAATATGATTATCAGACCTTGTTCACACACTGCTGCCCAGCACTGCTGATCCTAATGAAAGCTTTAAAAAAGAAGAGTGCTCTTCAGGCATAAGATCTTCTTAATAAACATTTGATTAGGGGCACCACAAGGGGGCAGCAGCCATCTTAATGCTGTAAATCTGATTTCTTTCCTTTGCTGCTCTCAAGTGCTTTTATGTAGTTCCTCCTTTTTCTTTTTCTCTATTTATCACAGTGTGGTGACTCAGTATTTTTCATGCTATATGTTTATGGTGTGTTAAATGGAGTGCAGTAAAGTCTGTCTGCAATCAGTTACAAACCTCTGGGAAAACTGTGATCAAACCCAGTTAAATCACTTAAAGTCACTCATTGTGCAGCTGAATCATAGATCAGCAGACCACAGTCTGTTAAGGTGAGTGACCAACACCCCCCGACCCCCACACTTAGCAGAGGATCCGTCCTCTCACCCAGACTCTACACTCAAAAAATGATTTATAGCCATCATAAACATTAAGCAAATATTTTACATAAAACTTATTTAAAAAACAGAGAAATATACTTTACTTATTTATATTCATTAGAAGGAACACAATTTGGATAAATCCAAACTGATTTAATTGAACTGTTTAAGACCTTTTAGATTTTTCCACTAAATCTTATTAGGAGACAGTGCGCATGTGCAATAGGAACAGGAAACGCATCATCAACCAAGAAGTTGCTTCAGCTGGCATGGTGGACATGAAATGGCTCTTTTTATTTTTACAATCTCCCACCATTCTTTGTTATACAGTGCAGCTGCACTAAAACTGTGATGCGCATTAACTTCATTTGTGTTTTTAATGTTTTTGACCGTATATTAATGTTTCATTTTGCTTATTTTGAGAGATACTCTAGACAACACCAGCAAACTAGCCAGCTAGCATCCTTGCTAGGTCTGCTGTCATGGTAACGGGTACAAAAGGTGATTAAATAATTAATGGGAGTGATTTATTGTGAAGCAGAGAATATAAAGATGTATTGCATTAATATTCAAATCAGCAGTTCATGGTTTTTGTAACTGTAGGTGACCTCGACATGTTAGCATGGCATGAAGTGACTGATAGCGTTAGCTAGCTAACCTGCATGATGGTTAGCGTGAGAGCTGCACCTCAGGAGGAACGCTGTGCACATAAACATTTGCTTTAATTAGCAGTTCAGTTTTGATTGAATAGAAATTCTAAACCAGGGAATTTGATCACAGCTGAAATATATAAAGTTATGTTTATTTCTTTCACATTAGACTTTAAAGTTTACATGTGTCTTGTAAGGAACCTCAGCAAATACTGTTTAATACAGTTTGGACTACATGTTCGTGAATTTAACATGTATTGTCATTTAATACATTTACACAGTCTAAGTATTTGTGCTGTGAATATTTGTAAATCTTACAAGTACTTCTAATTTAAATGTTATTTAATGTGTTCAGGTTTATTGAACATGATGGAGAAACAAATTATAATACCATTTTTTACATTGGATTTATGTATTTAAATTGAATGGAAAATTGACGTAATTAAAATATGTAAGTTTTAACTTTTGGGCTTAAATATTTTTTGAGTGTACACACTTTACACCTAGGACTGCATCATAAAACACAGCTCCAACACCATCATCAAGTTTGCTGACGACACACAAATTGGCAGCATCACCAACAACGATGAGGGACCGTACAGGGAGGAAGTGAAGCTCCTTACAGAGTGGTCCAACAAGCTCTCCCTCAGTGTTAGCGAAACCTAGGGGATGATTGTTCACTTCATAAGGGGGAGCAGAGTGTATGTACCACTGTGCATCAAAGAGATGATGGTGGAAAACGTGAGCAGCTTCAAGTTCCTCGGTGTCCACATAGCCATGGATCTCACCTGGTCACTCAACACATCACACAATGTCAAACAGGCCCAATAATCCCTCCATTTCCTCCGAAGGCTGAGGAGAGTCAAGCTGCCACAACAGCTGCTCTGCAACTTCTACAGTTTCACCATGAAGAACATCCTAACCAGATGCATCATGGTCTGGTTTGGCAGCATCACTGCTGCTGATTGTAAGGGATGCATGACCCGCTAATAATACAAAAAAAAAAAAAAACCTCTCAGATTGTACAAAGATGTGCTTTTTCATAGAACCTTCTTTTTTATTCCTTTTTTCTCCCAATATATTTGCTGACAATTCCTGTCATACTTCTGCTATCATTCATGTTACAATGAACATTTATTTGGTTAAAAAAAAACTAAAGGTTGTAATATATTTGTCAGGTGTGTCTCTGTACACTACCAGTGATTTTAGATCTGTCAGTCATATGGATGTGACACAATAGCGATTTATTTTTCTATAAGAAATCATTAAAATTCAGTCAAGGCTTTTTTTTCCAAACTAAAGGTTGTAGTATGTTTGTCAGGCATATCTCTGTACACTACAAGTGATTTTAGATCTGGAAGTCATATAGATGTGATACAATAGCGATTTATTTTAATTAAAAAAAATCATTAAAATTCAGTCAAGGAATATTTTCCTAAACTAAAGGTTGTACTATGTTTGTCAGGCGTGTCTCTGTACACTACAAGTGATTTTAGATCTGTCAATCATATGGATGTGACACAATAGCGATTTATTTATAGAAAAAAAAATCATTAAAATTCAGTCGATGCATATTTAACCAAACTAAAGGTTGTACTATGTTTGTCAGGCGTGTCTCTGTGTCTCCGCTGAATATCCAGTATCAACCTAACTTTACCGAA